CCCTTTAAATATGAATCCTCATAAGGTTAACATGGGGAACTACAGAGCCATTGGGGCGGAGCCCGCAAGGATTTTTGAGATAAGAATATGCCTATATGTTAATCGGAAATATGAGCTATCTTCATGCCAAATTTCAGCCCAATACGTCAAGTACTTAATGGGTGATTGAACTTCAAACAAACAAACACGCAAACTTTCACATTTATAATATTAGTAAGATTTTACTGTAGTCAAAATAAATAAATAATTATGTAATAATTGTATAGAAAACTACATTTAAACAATCTAACTTCCTAATCAAATGTAAAACAAAAATTAGAGAAACTGTTATAGAGTTTCCCTGGTAAATTGTACTTTCCCCCAACCAAATAAATTTAACCATGCAAACATGTTAGCAGTTTGCTTTAACTTTATAAACTACTGCATAATAATTATAGAGGTACTAAGTTAAACTACTTTATTTACTTCCAAAAAATTCTAACATTTACAAATTCATACAATTTAGCTACAAAAGTTATTCTAGTGAACAAGAATGATAAAATTAGCCTATGAGAATGAAACACACATTCTAAAAATTCTGCAAGCAAATCAGTTAAATATGTGTTAAAATAATTTGTGTCTTTAGTGTTTAAAATTTGACACTAACCAAAGAAGGATTTTTAAAGATAAGTGCTCAGAAAATATGGCATGCAATATTCCATTTCCATTCATATATTCTGTGCACAGTATTTGAGTTTACATAGCATAAAACATGGTTTAGCAAAATACCAACTCAGGTAAGTCAAACACAAAAGACGTAGTTTTTAATTAGGTTTGCAGTAAACGTTAGAAATAATTCTAAGCCCAAACATATATTACTACTCATAGTACACGATTTCGGTTTTGAAATGCAGTAAAACACTTCTCAGTGTTCGGTGATTTAAAATGTATATTTATGTTGATTTGCTTTTAGTTGATCACCAAACAGCTTTCATCACTAGGCCAAGTCCAACTTTTGCACTAACTTACAACTAGAATAAGATTTAGTTCGAGGTTCCACAAAGTCACAAAGCAAGCGTCACCGACAGAATAATAAGGAACATTGTTCACTTCGTCACGGTTTGTTAACATTGCAAAACAAAGCAATTTAGAACGAGAAGGAACGAGGTTTTTATATTTGTTTCTCGTGTAGTAATTGTGGTGTCTTTAATCATCAAATTTGTAGCTCGAAGCCCATATAGATATGCTGCATCTGTAGCGTTAATGAGAAGGTTAATAAAAGTCAGCTGCATAAAACTAACGCCATACTCTACTAGGTAGAGACAAATATTTACAAAGGAGCCTCAACCGCTGTATTTACGTAGTCAACAAAGCTGTGCAAAGATTATAGACATCTTGTTGCAAGGATACATGGAACAATTGTCGTCGTATCCTGAAAAATCTTCACTTATCTTCACGTATCTTACAATCACCCACAATATATAACTGGGTCATGTAGCCTAATACATTTATTAACACTATAGTTCGGCCGCTTAGAAAACGACCTGCGCGCTAATGCTAAACCAATGCTGGAGGAGGTCGCTTTCTAAGCGGCCGAACTATAAAACGGGGTTTGAATAAATAGTTAACTGTCGAATCATGTCCATGCATAATAGCTTTTGTAAATTTATTGATTGTACAAAATACGATTTTCAGCATTCATTCCATAATAGAATCTATGGATTCAACGACAGAGTTAAATTCTGAAACTTTACATTTAAAACCGGATATCCCAACTATAAAATTGTAAAATTGTTCGTAAAAGGCGTTGACATTAGCATATTTCATAACTAGGCCATAAAATGACTCTTTTCGTCCCAAGCTCAAGTTTAAAAGCGAGGGTTAAACAATAAGTTAATACAATAAGGGGAAACAATAAGTTACAAAAGATGAAATCAATCGATACATAATTTCGATACATACGTAGTTTAAACCTGAGTTTACAACAGCTGAACTTTACTCCATAAGGACTAAAAAGGCTCTTTACTAGCTAGAGACTAAAAAGGCTCTTTGTTTTCAGTACTGTATTCAAAGTTAACAATTTTACTATTCTTAACTTTTCATTATAATTTTTTGAAAGAAATTAGGAATTTAATTTCTACTATGACAGTATTTTCTTAGTATTTATAGTATATTATGTATAGTATTTAACTAGAAGGTAGCTAAATAGTTGACTTAATAATGTTAAAGAATATTTGTTTCGGGCCAGAGGATACAGCCCTGTACGTTTGTGGTTTGTGATAGGGCGGTATAGAACCATGATGTAATAGCTTGCAGGGGCTGCAAATCACATTACATAATAGCGTCAACTACACCTGCTCAACAGTCATGTTTGTGAATACAACACCTTCATGTGTCAACACAAATCTACCATCTAAACGCTGCTAACTCCGCATACATCAACACAAACAATTAGACATTCTATGTGCATTCCCTCCATACACACTTACACATTATGATGAATTTACATTACACACTGGAAGCAATTAAAAATATTAAATAGCTATTACATAGATTCAAAATAGTTAAAAGTCTAGTTATAGTTCCCCAAAACAATCTCTACAAATTCTTCTGTTGGTGAGTTGTAGTCAGAATGGGAATGCTTTGCTATTTTAAGTTCTTTGCAATCACAAACTAATAACCCTCTAGGCTGGCGTCTCTATGAAGTGTCGTGCCATATGCGACCGTACCAGATGCGACCCGTGCCGGATGCGACCCAAGAATTTTGACTGGGATGTCAGTAATGAAAGTAAGTCTATAAGGACATACAAGATTTTTTCAAACAGAGTGTAAACTTTTTTTCTTAACAATTACTTAACTTAATTTGACTCTAAAACAATTAAAGCAATTGTCTGTAAAATTAAATCTATACTATTATAAAAAAGAGGTGGTTGCTGTATGTATGGGAAAAGTAAACGCGAAAAATACTGGTCGGATTGGGCTGAAATTTGGCATGATGATAGCTCACATTCCCGATTAACATATAGGCATATTCTTATTTCAAAAATCCTTTCGGGCTCCGCCCCAGTGGCTCTGGAGTTTCCCATCCCATGTTAACCTTATGAGAAATGAAATTATTGAATCTTAACAGCTGTTTCAATTAAACAAGTTGGTTCTGTTCTGTGATGTTCAATAGCATTAAAGTTACAAGGATTACCAACAGGGTGCAGCACTAGCACTATTATTTCTTTTACATTTATGACAACAGCTAATTTGCAACCAAAAGGTGAGTGAGCGTAGCGAACGAACTTCAACCTGGAGGCGAGTGAGCGTAGCGCACGAGCTAACCTGAAGCAAAGTGAGCGCAGCGAACGAGCTCCAACCTAAAGGTGAGTGAGCGTAGCGAACGAACTTCAACCAGGACGTGATTGAGCCATGCAAACGAGATCATCTTGAAAATTAAGAAGTTAAACGGGGCAAAGCCCGCGGGTTACAGCTAGTGCACAATAAAATACTGCCACCTCAACAAAACTGCAGACTAAACGAATTTATATTTGACCGATTGGACTTTTGCTAAAATATTTCTTTACACAGTCAGATGTATTCCCTGTGTGAATCAGATTAGGTTTGAGTACTTAGGATTGCTGCTACAGGGGAGAAGATTTGAAGAAGTTGTTGGACGGTTAGAATAAGCATACAAGGCTAGATAAATATAATCAAACAAGGTACGAAAAGGCTACCCTACTGTGCATATTTTAATCAATGACGAAGCTAACTTAGCATCTATAGGAACTAGAGAATCTAATGAATAGCTCGTTGGGCCAATATGGGGCTCTGGCGGGTGATACGCCTTACTGACACGTGTATATAGTATTTTTATGAGCTAGTAGTATATTAATATCGGCTTGAACAAAAAATCTTCTATCAAACAAAGAATCGCTAGCGGCACTCACGCTACTAGCAGGGTCGCTACTGGCACGTAATCGTCTCTAGTGTATCATAACGTATCATCTGGTATCAGAACATCGCTTGGCTTGACTGACAAATATCATCTCACAAACAAACACAACAGAATATGCAACAGCTTGTCAGAAGTCTCCATATACACACTGATACACACTGCGGCCTTCCTTGATAATGTGTATTTATATTCATTTATGTAGGTTTATATTTCAACAGCATTTCACATATCTCAAAAACTACAATGATAACACTTAAGTTTATAACAAAGATTGGAGAGGCAAACGGTAACTTATTACTAGGCTAAAACAAAATCCTTATACATATAATAAGTTAAGGCGATTTCTACGAAACACTATTCCTCCGTTGATAATGGACGGATTTTTACAAACGAGGTGTCATAATAAAGTATTTGTTGTGTAAACGCCCCCTTTCAACAATTCCTGCAATAAAAGACCTCGGGCTTTGCCCCACAGGCCATCAAAATCCCAATGTATTTCTTATGAAGGAAAGATTTTGTTAACTTAAACAGACGAATTATTTTGTACTAGCTGAGTACCCGTCCTTCGTCCGGGGTAGATGTATGTTTAAATGGTGCTTTTTGAAATCTGAAATTAAAAACATTGTAAAATAAGTAAACTCAAGGGAGGTGAAAAAGTTTTAATATGAACATGTTAAAATAAAATATATATTTACAATACAGACTTATAAACAATGTTTACAGCTTTCCTATCTTTTGTGAAAATATACAGGTTTTTTCCACTAGAAACACGTGAGCAAGCAACGTATAATTGCCCATGGGAGAAACATTGTGTTTCCAAATAGAGGCCTGCAACCTGTAGAGTCTGTCCTTGTGCTTTATTTATCGTCATTGAAAAAGCAACCTTTAAGGGGAACTGAAGGCGCTTAAAATTGAAGGGTAGGTTTGCTGTTGTAATGGGAATCCTGGGAATGAGTACTTCTTCCCCCTTTGCAGAACCAGTTAAAATCTTAGCTTCTATGACATTTTCTTTTAAAGATGTAATTAAAAGCCTAGTACCGTTACACAACCTAGGTGGCTCTAAGTTCCTAAGTAGTATTACTGGGATTCCTAATTGCAATTCAAGCTTGTGCGGGGGAATACCAGGCAGTTCCAAGGTGTTAAGAAACTCAACAGGGTAGTGTAGTGCTTGCTCCTCTTCTGTAATTGAATCAATGGACAAATAAGATTTAACTTCACCATGAATAATGTTCATAATTTTGCTGTTTATTTTGTTCACATCGTCATTTTTGGGGGCTAAAATTGCTCTGCAGGATAACCATTCAGGATCATAGTGGTTGTTTTGTAAGTCAGGAAACACACTTGCTATAAGCTCTTCCGCAGAAGCAACCATGTGACCAAAGCTTTCTGGGAAGGAAATCATCTTATGTTGGTCAGTTTTCATTCTACCTTCACCAATCTTGAGCAAATCACCTGAAAATTGTCTGGCATCACAGTCGTTATGGAGACTTACCCTCATATTTTGAACCAAGTGATACTGCTCAATATGACTCCATAGGACAGACTTTTTCAAACAGGAATTGATTTCATCTGCTGGAGTTCCACGTTGGATAACTGGTAGGGTTTGTCTAAAGTCCCCTGACAACAAAACAACTAAGCCCCCCATTAAATCTTGACTATTTCTGATGTCTTGAAGTGTTGCATTCAATGCTTCAAATGCTCGTTTGTGAGACATTGTACATTCATCCCACACCAGTAATGTACAACGTCGGAGGACTTCAGCTCGATCAGAGGTTTTGCTGATATTGCATTGTGTGGTTTCAGCAGTTGCTAGGTTAAGTGGTAGTTTCAATGCAGAATGTGCAGTTCTTCCACCAGGTAGAAGTGTTGAAGCAATGCCAGAGGATGCAATCGCAAGAGCAATGTGATTTTCTTTTCTCAGCTTAGCCAATATGAGAGTTATAAGAAAAGTTTTACCTGTTCCACCTGGAGCGTCTAGGAAGATAATTCCTCCTTTTCTACTCTCAATCCTCTCTAAAATTGTATCATAAACCACTTGTTGCTCGGGTAGAAGTTTTGGTAACATCTCTTGTACTTGGAGCTGCATATCGTCGATGTTATATGCCATTTCTTTTAGAAGTTCAGGGTTGATTCCATTCAATAAGTTTGGAGCGGGTAAGCCAAACGAACTTAAATCTTTCCCACTCATAGACTTCACCAGTTCTTGGATATTCGTTAGGGCCTCATAGTAAACTATGTCATTGTACTGAAGGTCAGGGACGACTTCCCTGTGTCGATGTAAGATATCATCAGACAAATCATTTCTGAATGATTCCCACAAAGTTATAGGGCTTGACAACTCACACGTACTTATCAATATTGCAAATAGATGGCGTACACGAGAAGCTGAGCGAGTCAGAACAGCTTCTTCCATCGTTGACTCCCAATGGTTGTCATTCTCAAGCAGACCAAGGGCCTGACAGGCTTCTCTGTATGTGCCACAAATTTGGTTATTTACTGTCCTTAGTTGTTGAAAAGATGTAGGGCCTCTTACTTTATGAAGAAGCAAACGAAGACAATAGCACTCAAAGTTTGCCGGATGAACAGTATATACACGACCTAATGCATCTGAGTATTTAACATCTGCATAACCATGGACAGGTGTTCCTTGAATTCGGCGCCTGAATACTTTCTCGGTTGCGTTGAAAGTGAAATAGTGTGGAACTTCATGATACAAAAGTGTTTTTGCAAAATCATCATTTTGGCATAGATCAAAGAATGCAGTCAACGTGGTTGGTGGTGGGTTTTGCAATCTTTCATTCATGTTTTCCTCATTAAAGTATACCCGCTGACCATTTTCTAGGTGTACTGATAGATGAGTCACAGTTGGTTTCCTCTCATGCACTGGGAATCCAAATATGCGCCAAGCAGCCTCATTACTACTTAAGTAACGTCCGGTTTGATAAATAGTCACTTCATCCTTTAGATTGTCTAATTGTGCGCCTTTCACCAAATTGAATGCAGCTTGGTCACTTCCCTTGTGTATGTATTTACAAACGTACTTTATGGCCTTAACTGAGCTGCAGTATTCTACATTGATGTGCGCATTGAAGATCTTAATCAAAGTTGGGCAATATGGGACAATCCAGCGGTTGTCTATCTCCACAGCAACATTTCCAGCAGCTTTCATATTAATATGACCCGTGAATCCACCATCATGTGGACTCCGTCTACGGTACATAGGATAACCATCATCATTTGTTTGGGTGTTTTCAATCAGGGGCCTTGGGTAGTGTTTCGTACATTTGCCGTCTTTCATGCATGGAGACCGTTGGTTGTAAGCACCACAAGGTCCGTGTACCATATGTTTCAGTACATACTCATGAAGAACCGGATCAGAGGTACGTTCTGGGATTTCAGAACTAATGACACTGTCAATCTGATTAGGACGGATTTTTTCACATAACCAAAGGAGGTAATGGATGTGAGGTAATCCACGTTTCTGCCACTCTACAGTGTAGATAAAGCATCTGACAGAGCCAAAAACTTCCCCTTTGTTGATCACTGCGACAAAAATCTTTATTTTTTGATGAAACACACGTGAAACAATGTCATGTCTGTCTGTTGCTTTCTGCCCTGGAAGCAAGGATTCCAATATTTCGGGCCATTTTGGATTGCATGTTAAAGTTATAAATAAGTCCGGGCGACCGTAGTTTTTAACATAGGTCAAAGCGTCTTGTGCCCTTTCACTTAAATACCTCGGAGATCCTACAAAACTTGAAGGAAGGATAACAGATTGGCCAATATCATTAGCACTCAGTGTCGCATCATTGTTCAAAGCATCTCTCAAATGCACGTAGCTCTCAGCCCTAAGTTTTTTTTTGATTGAGCTTAATGTACAGTAGGCGTTCAGTTTCTATTTTGGCGTACATGTCAACTATGAACTGGTTTAGGAGCTGTCTATACCTCAAGATAGTATTAAAATCGTCTTCGCGTACCATTAACATGTACGCATAGAAATCCATTGACGAAACCTTCTTGTTTGTAGGGAGATTAGTATTTGGATCCATCATGGGGATACCAAAATGATACCCCTCTTGTCCTTTTGAGAAAATTAGTGGGTATTGTAGTGCATCGTAGAAGCGGTGAGTTTCAGACACTCGGAGAAGATTGCCATCACGTTTCCTTAATACAATGTCTCGGCTCTCAAACTCATTTCCAGCAATGACAATCGCCACTTCATCTGCAGTAGGAGCATTGTACCGGCGTTCATGTTCACCAGGTGGACGGCGGTCAGCACGAATTACAACTTTGTAGTTATCTGTTGGAAGAAGTTCCATAGCAGTTTTAAAAGAACGTACTAATTGATTTTCTTCATGAAACATTTGCTGTATATCTTCGACCGTTGTACGACAAACACCAGGTATGTTGTTGCAACGTGTGTCTGTTTCAATGTCCTGATCCCCAATAAAATATATTTGTAGAAAGCTATGGGGCTTTCCTGAAGGAGGAAGAAGGCTACCAATGCGGTGATAAACTTGTCCCTGAACAGTAAAAGTAGTATGAAAATGAGGAACAATAGTCTGACCAGATGCTCCAAAAGATGTCATTTGGAAACACATATTATATTTTCTAATATTTTGTAAGAAATCTTTTGATTCCCTTGTTTCTCCCTTGAGCAAAGTGAGAAGGGGTTCAGGTGGCTCTTCCAAATGAGTAACTTTGACTTTGCCACTTGAGCAACACATTCCAACAGATTCTCCTGGCCACTTGGCTGCTCTGCAATGCCTACATATACTATTAATATGTCCAATTGAAAGAAGATTGTGGTTTTTGTAATCAATTGTTGGGTCATAATTAAATGCTATGTGTTTAAATGAATCCCACTTTCTTGTCATAAATTGTTGCCTGTCATTTCTTCGAGCGAGTAGGTTGGCTTCATGCTGTTCATTAGTTTGAGTTAAACGCTGTGCAGCGTGTCTTACTGAATCCTCTTCTCTACGTAGCAGACGCTGTTGAGGAGTTTCTTGGGACCGTAGGTAAGCAATCCTGTTAGCATTGGTTTGTAATCGAGCCTGACGACGTTCTGAAGTTTCAGAAAATCGTTGTAGTGCTGTAGTTTCTGCGTTTTTTTGCAGACGGACTTGTCTCTCTTGAAAGGACTCCCTTTCTCGCAAAGATGCCATTGCCCTTGCCTTAGCAGGACGACTGGAGAGGTTGCTCTTTTTTCTTTTAGGCATTTTAATATCCGAAAGTCCCACATGTATGTTAAAAAAGATTAAATTCCAATAAATCAAAAAAAACTTTATATAAAACTTAATATATCAAAAACTTTTAACTTTCTAATTACATTTAAAAAACATTTTCAAAAAATAAACAAATAAAAATCTCATATCCTTTACTTACTTTTAAATTATAAAATAAAACATAGACAAACAATAATTTACAACATCTGGTTAATATTATGGTATAGCATTTAATTTGAATGAAATGAAACAGGTGATCTTGCTTCTAAAAAGCATTGCTCACTCAGCATTGAATATAAAAAAAAACTTATTATATACTATGTGAACAAACAAAAACATTAATACTCTTACTACTAAAACAAAACAAACAGAAACGTACTATTTAGCTATTAAATAATAGGACTATTTAGTATTTAGTCCTACTATTTATAGCTCCTAATATTTATGCACCAAAGGCAAAGGCATATATACAACTTTTTTATTGTTGTTTTTAATTTGAAATATTTGTATATCAGCTTAGAATTAGTAAATTTAATGTCATTCAAACAATGTTATTGCAAGGGTAGGTTAAGTTAAGAGGAACTTGGTTGAAATTATACATGTAATGACCTTGAAACGCTCGTAAAAAGATATTCATTATTAGAATAGAATGTAAAATCTACAGGAAGTGTAAAAAGTTATAATATAGAGTAGTAGCTACCTCTGGATTAGAAAACATCATAACTCTATGGGTAGTAATATGAAAATATGATTTAAAAATTTGGGAAAAGGCTAATGGTGTGAAAAATATTTCTCTCAAAATGGCAAAAATATACAATTAATTATCTCCTTGAGAAAAAAGTTTCAATTTTTAAGGTGTGTGCCCTACTCTAAACACATGTTAATTGTTCAAAAATGTTAAAATGATTCAAGTAAATGTGAACTTTATAATTTCACTATTTTTACACCAAACTCTTTCAATACAATTATTCACATTAGCAAAATTTTAAATAATTAATTAGGGTTGGATACAGCATCAGATATACAATCTCACTAATTTCATAAAATAAATAATCAATGAACCATCAAATATAAGAATAAATAAACATGATTGTAGAGAATATTATATGCCTCCTATTTATAAACCAGCTGTGGCATTGTGAATTAATGTGGTTTGACAGTTCAGCTTGTTTACATTTGGGTGGCATAGCAAATTGTAAACATTGTGTTTGTTCTCATGGCAGCCATGGAGACCAATCAATATTTACTTTTAAAATCCTCAACTCAGAACTTTTAAAGCCAAAGGGGCACCGCCCACGGTCAGTATCGAAGTGTGAATAGTCCTATTATGGTCCTTGGTATGGTAGCTATATTTCTGTAAAATTTAAGCCCAGTCAGTTCAGTAGTTTATGCGCCTATTAGTAATACACATACAGACACCACAAGATTTTTATATAATAGTATAGATTAATTGCAGCTGTTCATAATACACCCAAGAGCGTACGTTTTCAGAGTGAGTTGGTTTTTAGTTTCAATAACTGGAGTGGAGTGAGCATTTGGTTTCAGAGCGAGTTCGTTTTCAGTTTCGATAACTAGAGTGGAGTGATTAACAACATTATCTGTGAGTAGACTTTTTTTAAGTCATCGGAAATTATATTATGACTGTTATTAGTTTAGATATAATGTCTGCAATACAGCAATTGAAGAATAAATCTACGGTTTGTTTACTGTGATATTATCCTTAGTAACAACAAAAAAAAATTATGGATTAGCTAACCCATTTATGTGATCTCAGACTAAAAAAAAAACATCAAACAGACAAGGTATTGGTAATACAAGTTAAACATAACATTGAATGTTTATCGAAATATAAAACATTTATCATATTTCAAACATTCTGTTCAACTTTGCTTAAAGTACATTTGAAGTATAACAGCATAAATACAGAAAGTGTTGAATGTAAGTTGTAGTATTTATACGGCTTGGGCTCAGGTCGAATGGGAGACGGACAGCAGTAGTGGCGAACCCACAAAGAGTCGGCACTTGGGGCGTTTTTCCCCATAAGAATAACATGGGGATCATTTTTTAGCCACTTTTTCAAAAATCCTGATCTTTGCCTGTACACCCCTATATTAATGTTCAATACCATTGTACAACTTCATTACTATTTCAAATCCACATCTATTCACATGTATATTCTCAAAATCGAGCGAGGTTTGTGCGCGAACTCGGACGCGCTCCCGGCTCACGGCGTGGGCATGCTCCCGACTTATGGTCAGGCTTCTCGCTCCTGACCCATGGTCGGTCGTCTCGTCTCTAGTGGCAGCTCTTGATTAAGTCCTGGGTGGGTGACCTCCTGTTGAAGTAATTTCTAGTTAAATTGTTTAACAATTTTTAATTTCTAGCAAAAATATTTTTGAAAATTTAAAAATTTTTGAAATTTTCGAAAAGTCTATAAATAGAAGTGACATTCGGGTGATATTTCATTCTGGACCATGAGGCCCACCTGTCAACATTGCTCTGTGTCGCTCTCCACCAAAAGTAACCTGATTCGCCACTACAATTTGATACATCAAATCAAGGTAAAACTGTGTAAAGTTTGTAATTTAATCTGTGATAGTAACATAGCTCTAAAATCTCATATATTACAAAATCACAAGACTTGTAATTTCTGTAAAACGAATGTTGTTGGACATTTTAAAAGACACGCCAATTCTTGCATAAAATGTCCATACACAATGATTAAATTTGTTGGTGAATCGATTAGAACTGAACTTAAAAATACTCTTCAGTCTTGTCCTCTGCCAATAAAATGGACTTTAGTAAGGAGAATCAAATTTATAAAATATTCAATGGATCAAAATGGACAATTAGTTAATGAAAAAGAATGTATTGCAAATTTTAGAAGCCTTACTACCTTAACTATTGAGAAGAGAGATTTAAAGCCTCAAATTGAAAATGCATTTTTAAAGATTGATGCATCCATACACAAATATCAAGCCCAAGGCAGTGGATGGATTTATGACCATACTAAATATTGGCAGTTACATGTTTACAAGTATAAGTCCCTAACTCCAAAGTCATACATTCCCACACCAAAAACTATTCAATCGAAACATGCAGTGTTAAATATAAAAAATGCTGATAATAAATGCTTCCTTTGGTCGATATTAGCAGCTTTATATCCAAGGAACTCTAATGAAAATGCTAATAGAGTCTCCAGCTATGTACCCTACATAGGTCAGCTGAATATGACAAACATAAAGTATCCTGTGAAAATATCTGATATAGATAAATTTGAAACACAAAATAATATAAGTGTAAATGTATTTGGAGTTGAAGACCAGAAATGTATATATCCATTAAGAACAACCAAACTGAATAGTAATACTCACATCGATTTATTATTATTACAAGAAGGTCGTAAATCACATTATTGTTTAATTCGTGATTTTGGTAAGTTAATGCTGCGGTCTACAAAACATGACCATAAGAAGCATTTTTGCAAGTTGTGTTTGCAACATTTTTACACTAATGATATATTAGAACGTCACACAACTTATTGTAAAAACTTTGATGCCCAACGAGTGGAAATGTCTAAACAAGATACATTACAATTTAAAAATTATAAATATCAACTTAAAGCCCCATTTGTTATTTATGCAGATTTTGAATGCTTTATAAACTCTAACAAGCATACTCCATCTGGATTTGCATTTGTTGTAGTAAAAGATTCAAAAATTATTTCTGAAGAGTTGTACAATGGCACAAATGTTATGGATGTGTTTTTTGAAAGATTATTTCAGACTTATGATTATATTAAAAACCAAATGGCAATATATATTCCTCTTCAAATGACTCCTGAGCAAGAGGTATCTTTCCAAAACTCAACACACTGTAACATTTGTGAAAAGCCCCTATATATTGATAGGGTGAGAGATCATTGCCATTCCTCTGGCCAATACCGTGGAGCTGCCCACAATGATTGTAATTTAAATTATAAAGTAACAAAGAAAATACCAGTATTCTTCCATAACTTGAAAAATTATGATGGTCACATAATAATGCAACATTTGGGAAAGTTTAATAAACGTAAATTAAATTGTATAGCTAAAGATATGGAAAAATATATATCATTCTCTGTTGATGATTTAGTATTTTTAGATTCATACAACTTTCTGTCCCTTCCATTATATAAATTGGCTTCCAATTTGAACACATTTAGATTCATACAAAATCCACTACTACAACGTAAAGGTGTATATCCCTATGAATATATGACGGGACCAGATAAGTTCGCAGAGTCTCTACCCCCAATTGAAACATTTTACAGTTCTATAACTAAAGAACATATCTCTCCCAATGAATATGAACATGCTAAAAATGTATGGACCCATTTTAATATAAATAATTTACAAGAATATCATGATTTATATCTTAAAACAGATGTATTGCTACTGGCTGATGTGTTTGAGACATTTAGAGACCTGTGTTTAAAAGATTACAAACTTGACCCTGTACATATGTATTCACTTCCTGGACTTACATGGGAGGCCTGTCTTAGAATGACAGGAATAAAATTACAATTATTCAAAGATATTGACATGCATTTGTTCATAGAAAGTGCGATTCGAGGAGGAGTCAGTATGATTTCTACACGTTACGCTAAAGCAAATAATAGATATATGGGTGAACACTATGATCCCAATCAAGAGAGTGTCTATTTAATATATTTAGATTGTAACTCGCTATACTCAACAGCGATGTGTGAGCCGCTACCTATGGATGGATTTTGTTGGTCGAATGAGATAGACTAATATAATCAAAATGATGAGTTTGGATACATTTTAGAAGTTGATTTAAAATATGATAAAAGCTTACATGATTTACATAATGACTATCCATTAGCACCAGAGAAAATGAATGGCAAATTAATGCCAAATTTAAATGACAAAACTAAATATATTTTACATTATAAAGCATTACAAAAATATGAGGAATTGGGTTTGATTGTAACAAAATACCATAGAATTTTAAAATTTAGACAGTCTAATTGGCTTGCGCCCTATATTAATTTTAATATTGAAAAACGCAAATGTGCTAAAACTGATTTCGAAAAAGACTTTTATAAATTGTTAAATAATAGTCTCTTTGGTCGAACAATCATGAATCAACGCAAGTTTCGTGATATATATCTCAAGGATGAGTCACTATTAACAAAATATGTCACTAATCCAAGGTTTGATTGTAGTAAAAAGTTTGATAACAATTTACATGCTATACATTTAAATAAATTAGTTGTAAAGTTTAATAAACCAATATATTTAGGAATGACCATTTTGGATATTAGTAAAGTAATAATGTATGATTTCCACTATAATTATATGTCAAAATTTAAGAATAAAAGATTTCTAATGACAGATACAGATTCATTAATGTATGCTATAGTTACAGAGGACTTTTACAAGGAAATAGAATGTGACTTGCACTATTTTGATACCTCTGGATATAGTAAAGACCATTTCTTATACTCTGATAAAAATAAAAAAGTCACTGGAAAGTTTAAAGATGAATTAGGTGGTCATATTATGTATGAATATTGTGGTTTAAGACCAAAGTTATATTCTTACATTCCTCTAAAATGGTTATATGAAGAAGACAAGCAAGCTTTAGAGGTGAAGAAAGCTAAAGGAGCTGATGGTGCCACTGTTAAACATCTCCTCAGACATCAACATTATTTGAACTGCCTTGCAACTGGGCAAGATTACTATGAGAATGTGACAAGAATTAAATCTATAAATCATCATCTTCAAACCTTAACCATGAATAAAAAAGTACTATCCTTTGACGATGACAAGAGGTTTATTCTGGAAGATGGGATCAACACTCTTGCGTTTGGTCATTATAAAATTGATGTTCAAAATGTGTAGATATATAATAAATACAAATGTTAAAAAAAATCTTTCATTTATTTACCCTTACCATCCTCTTGATAGAATTGGTCAAACATAAATCTATATTTGCCATTATTCTTTGGCCTTTCTTTGTCTATTACGAGAAAGCCGTATTTAGTTTTATCCCAACATTGATGACAGAGATTTTTAAATTGGTCAAATGAAAAGTCATTACCAACATGATTGTGATATACATGTTTTAAATTTAAATCATCTTGTTTAAATAATATTAGGAAATTTACATTATCACGTAAATGTTTGTGTACTTTGCTGTAAGATTGACACAAGTAAAAACAGTTAATATTTTTATGTCGACCCATTGAGAAAAATTGTGTAATATTTGGACTATTTATGTCATCAAATACAACAACTGACTGTGATTTTACATCATTTGGTGTGATTTCACAGTCAGTAAACGTGTGTAATTTCACTTCATCACACAAACTAAATATTTCAATTATTTTTTTATATTTTTCTTGTTCTAAAGATTTAGATATTAAATATAAGTTTGTAAATTTTAATCCTTCCTTTCTTACAATTAAATTGTAAATTACAACCGTCTTCCCACTTCCACTTGGACCACTAATAACACATCGAATATTGGTAGGAAATAGACCCAACTTCTTTGGTATATACTCCTTAGTATGTGATATTTTAAATTTATGTTTTTGTTGAATAAAAGACATTTTTTATATAATAAAAATGGTAAAAAATGATAATAAGAAAACATGTAAAAAGGGCAACGGTTTATTCCTAAAGCCTTACAGGGGTCGAGGGTTATTGAATACTCTTATAAATAACCTTCCATTTCCACTTCACATACCATCATATCAATACTGTGGACCTGGGACGAATGTACGTGAGAATTTAGCTAAAAATGTACCTCCAAAAAATAAACTAGACTCTTATTGTAAAGAGCATGACATATTCTACATGAATAATAATGATACTGCTGCTCGGAACAAAGCAGACATGAGATTAGCAGACTTAGCTTGGACTAGAGTAACGGCCAAGGACGCAAGTCTTGCTGAAAAAGCCGCTGCTTAAGCAGTGACAAATTTGATGAAGGCTAAAGCAAAAATGGGAATGGGATTAAAATTTAATAAAAAAGATGGACAACTACCAGCTGTTAGAGGCCGCAAAAGACGTGCCTCACTTCAGGGGAGTGTACCTAAAAAGCGAGCTAAAAAATCTAACACCAAGAGTAAAAGAGTGCGGAATAGTTAATTTAGATAGTTCATCTGGCACACATTGGACAGCATATCGTAAAAATAAAGATATTGTAATTTATTTTGACCCATTTGGAATCCAACCTCCAAAAGAAGTAATTAAATTTTGAGGGATATAAAATCTACTATACAACCGATCAAATACAAGATTTAAATAGTTCTATTTGTGGAAT